GTAGACTGGAACAAACTTCTTTGCCAGCATTCATACTAAAAATTATAAATGCATAAGTGCTGTGGGTAAGATCTTAGAATGAATGAGGGGAAAAACTCAAATTACCTTCTTGGAAGCAGATGGCTAAGGGCTTAGTGTCTAGGCTTGTCCCTGGAAATTTAGAAGCTGCTTAAGGACTGGCTCCAGTGATGACCTCTTCCTTAAACAGCATGAAAATATCTGTGGAATGAAAAAAAGTAACACCACTGCATTCCTATAACTCTTTCTCCAAGGTGATTGTCAGCTGCCATTTGTCTGTCATCTAAATAGTTACAGGAGCTTTTTCTTTCTTTTTTTTTTTTAATATAAAAGCTTACTGTAATGGCAACTTCGATCCATAAGGTAATTTTTTTGTTTACAGAAGTTAGTACTATTGCATGTTTGTTGTTTAGGTCTTCAAGAGTTCAGATAGGTGTAAAATGTGTCTTGTCTGCGAACAGGGAGAGCTTTTCTGTGTTTCATCCCCCTGAGGCCAACATCAGAGGTGTGTTTAAGGCAGTAATTACCAAGATACGTTCACAAACATTCCCAGGAACAAAGAAATCATAGCTAAGGGTCTAACACTGTCACGTGTAGTTGAGCAAATGTTGCTGTTGTCCACTCTGAGCATACTAAGAAAAGCTTTGTTATATTCTGTGGTGCTGATACAGCTTTGCTTTTGCTTGCTTTTATTGTGAGAATGCAACACTGTAACACCTTCTTACTGTTGATAAAAGTCAGTCTTTTGCTGACATAACAAGAAATTGTTTGCAAAAGTGCAAAACTAGTAAAAATTTAAGGTACGCAGATGTTAATTACATATAACTGAGAAATCCTGTGACTTTCTCACTGAATTAAAGTGGCAATACTTTATGTTGGAAGACTGGAAGGGTGAAAAAAACGCTATATAGAAACCAGATAACTAAGTCAAGTACCTGGGTCACAGGAGCTTGCTGACATGCCTGCTCTTTTACACAGGTATAAATCCGGTTGCAAGAAACCTTACAAGATTTAAGATGCATGGTCCTGATCTGATCCTTTTCCTCCAGCGCAAGCCAGCTCTATTCTGGTTTGCACTTTGCCACAGCAAATGACTGAAGCTGGAATGTTTCACAGCATAGACTGAGGTCATTTCTTCCAGTGAGTCTGCGCATTCAATTCATGGAAGATGCACAAGAGGCATATGACTTGAATTTGCACTGCAACAGCTAAACCACTAGATGGCCTACAGTGGAAGATGTAACCAGTATTATTCTGGATTGAAAGGTCTCATCTAACACACACCTTCTTTGCTAAAAATCAGCTTTAAATCCTGCATATAACTTGAATACTCTATGAATAAATAAACCGTAGAAACACACACACAAAAAAACAACTATGAAAACATTATTAAAACTTAGTGAAGTTTGAGATGTTACCTTAAAATGTTAACTTGAAAGGATGAAAAGAAAAAAAAAATCTTATTAAAACAACCTTATTACATGGCCTAAGCATGGTCGCACTAACACTCATCAACCAGTAAAACCAATCCTGCCATAAGATCCCAAAGGACAGTTGCGTGGTTGGGTTGTTGGTTCCTTTGGTCCCCCCCCTTTTTTTTTTTTTTTCTTTTTATTGCAAAGAAGAGACTACAGAACTTTGAAAATATAATTAGAAAAGGTGGAACTTCTTCTGGGGCCATATAGTGACTAATGTTGGAGTTGCAAGGAAATAATATTCTCTGCAGATAATATTGATAACTTTAAAAAAGGTATGGGTCGGTGATGGCCAAGCTACCTATTCGGTCTGTTAGCATCCAGTATGATTAGATGATATTCTGTAAAGGCTATTAGATTTCTGTCTGCGAAGTGCAGCTTTTGCGCAAGGTCATCTTTTGCATTCACTCCTTTTATAGATTTTTTTTTTCCCCCATGATCCCCAGACCTTCTTTTCCTTTTTTTTTTTTTTAATGATATATAGGCAAAAAAAAAGCATAATTACAAGAAATATAGTAATATTATATAATTATGTATATTACATACATGTAAAAAATCCATAGTATAAATATCTAAAGCTGACCCTTAACTTTAATGGCCCCTAACCCTAATGGCCCCTAAAACTACACTCATGGATGATAATCTTAATGTTCCCTAAAACATAACAAACCTATCTGTAACACTAACCCTAAACTCTGACCTGAACCATACCCCTAACCCAAACATCCAGTTAGGTTCCTTCTTGCATATCTTAAGGAAATATGTCAAATTTAAGAGTGAAGGAAGTGTAGCAAAAGGAACAGATTCTAAATTTGCTGAAAATTAAACTAAACCCAAACCAAATGGCCTCAAAGAGTGCTTGCCTTTCTGCTGCTTTGTCTCCCTCCTCCTCTTCCCATCATTTCCCTTTCAGTTATCTCCTTACTTTCTCCTACTTATTTCTTGGTATGTTTTTCCTTTCCTGTCATGTTTCCTGACTGGTCTGGGAGATAAAGGATCTTCTCAAGGATCACAGAAAGAAGAAAGTAGAACAGGCATTTAGACAAAGCTCTTGAAAGAAAACCAGGCAGGTTTGACGTTACAGACCTGTGTATAGACATCACAATTTTCTGGTGTTGTAGGTTCTGAGAGAGCTTAATTTTAAATAGCTACTAGCAAAGATTTGTTAAATTTCAACAGTAACAGTACTAGTGTTGGGGCCGTTTTATCTGTCTCAAAGCGTCTTTTTAAATGATCAAGATCCAAAAGCTGCATTTTAACCAGGGTGGGAAGAGAGGTCTAAAACACTGCCCAGAGATGGGTCTGGTTGCCCTGAAAGGGAAGGGGGCTTGGAGGGAGATGAGCTATTTCTGACTCTGCCTGTTAAAGGAAATGCCGAAAGAGCCCTGACCCAGAGTGTGATCAAGAAGCAAATCACATTACCATGGTAACTAGTCCTGCTCCTCTGTTGAATTAGGTGAGGTAGGAGCTGTCAGAGAAGGAGGGGCCCAATTATGCTGCCAGTGAAAGCAATGGCAAAAATCCCGTTGATTTAAATGGCAGCAGCACTCAGACCCAAAGAAGGTGGGAAGAGAGTCAGAGCAGAGCTTCCATGCTTTTCTGAAAACCATTTCTCTTTTCATGGTTTGTCAAACCCATTCTATTTGCTTTTTTTCTTCTTTTTCTAATGCAAATTCTTTTGTTTCTGCTTCAGCTGAATGGTGTAAGAACCTGAAATGGGATGTTTGTTAAAGGCATGCAGTATTAGACACAGAAGCAAAGTAGAGAGGGGCAGAGAGATTTTTGCTTTCACATCTTTCACAGTAGAAAACAGTTAGTGACTGTGCACTTCGGCTGAGCAGTTTGAGTCAACTGCTTTGCTAACTGCAGTTATTACAGTGATGATAAACTGGTGGTGCTTAAACACTGGGATCAATCTCAGCACAGACAACAACGTACAGCTGTTAAAGCACAGAGCCCTCTTTTCTGAGTTGTCAGACGTTGGCTTCAAATGCACCCACGAGTAACAAGGCTCACCGCATCGCAGTTAGTGGCTTCTAATGTTTCTGGTTTCTGTGTAAAGCACCTCGTCAGACTGCCATTATAAAGCTGTATGGTGGAACTGAATTTAAGAAAGACCTCACCAAAGCAGGAGTCAGGTCATGCTGATTAAACTTCTTGAGCACTTCAGTAACTTCCTCCTCAGTATTATTAAGTTTATGACTAAAATAGCTGAGAATGACATCAGTGAATTTGGTCATGGCACCTGTTGCACCTTGATCATTTTCAACTTGTAGTGGAGTCAAGTTGAAGAGGTGTTTGTTTTGTTTGGTTTGGTTTGGTTGTTTGTTCTTTTAATGTTCAGTGTGAAGTGTTTCCCAAGTTTCCAGTTTTTCTATTGACCTTAACCTCCTCCTTTAAGAATTGTTCAAAATTCCCAGAATCAAAGATCCCACCTTTGACAGGGTGGGTCAAATCGAGGCAGAATTTCCATGTCAACTTCTTAACATTTCCTGTCCTTTTGCACCCCTATGCTGCCTCGACCTCCTGCCGAAAATGTTAACTATGTTCACTATGGCGCATTTGTATTAGAGAAGGCATGCAAAAATCTTCCAAAAGTGCACTTTATAGTTGGAATTCAAGGCACAAAAGTTTGTGATGTTCTTATCTCTTGGATGTGGTGCTCCCTCCTTTGAAAGTGAGCCATTCCTTTCTGGTGGAAAATCGTGTATGAGCACTGACCACATTCAATTTTCTGGACCATTAAACAATCGTTTCATAAAATGTGGACTGAAACCATCACGTTCCTTAAAAATGAGACCTGAAGTTCACATTAAGTTTATTTTAGGTATTTAGACACCTAAAATACCTTTGGATCTTGCTCCTTTGTGATAGTTTCCCTTTCACAACAGAAGTACACAAAGAGTGAAGTACAGCATTAAAGTGCTTGCTGTAGCCTGTGTTGCTGTGGAAACACAGTTCAGTGTTCTGTGCTATTTGGCATTTTCTATAGGCATGGCTTTGTGCCTAGCAATGTTGTTCTGATGTGGAGCTGCAGAAAAAGCCAGTTACAGAAGCCAGATCACCGTACTTAGGAGAGACTGGTGTATCTCACACAGTGATATGGACGAAAGTGTTCCTGAAGAATTCAGTTTTGCCTTGGAATCCAGGAATGTGTCTAGATTAGAAATATAAAATTCAATTTGCATCTTTTTCTGCTCATTGATATTTATTTATATATTTATTTTACTTAGGTTCAAGTTAGCCAGCTAATAAACATCCATTCATGTTAAATTATGCCCATGTACTAAGGTGTGTGGATTATAGTTTTTGTATATGCTAACATTTAATTAATTTTTATGCTTACATTGCCTGGGTTTTGTTATCTCTTTATTTCTTTGAGGAAGATTTTATGTATGCTTTTCCTGTGAACTGACAGAGCAGAAATGCATGCTTCTAAAAATGTTCTTCGTGTTCAGTACAGTTATGCACGTGTTGCCTACAGTCAAACAGGGCACATCCAGCAGATAAAGTGATTTAATTTTTATTTGTACGCTCAATGTGCGTTAACAAATTCAACATACAAGATAGCATTACATAATGTCAAGTAGCTTATAGCATTATGCAGTTTCACACATGTTGAGTTAGGTTTTTTGACTTTTTTTCTTTTTTTTTTTTCACACAAAGTTGTAACTGTCCAAGTTAATTTTACAATAGAAGACACAAGGTAAAGAATAACCACATCTGGGAGATTTTACAGTGAGTCCACTGTCACTTACTGTCTATTTTACGTTTTAAAAATATATATATCTGCACATCTTCAGTTTCCTATTATTCCAGAAGTGTTGGAGCTACTTCTACCTGCCCGATCGCCTACGTCTATTCACCCTGAGCATGTTTCCTTGACAAAGAAGTTCATCTTTCGTTTTCAGCTAAAAGAATCTTATACAGATCATCTAGGCTTAAGCATGCTTTTCACACTGAAGGAAAAAAGGGAACTTTTTTTTGTTTGTTTGTTAGTGTGTTCTATTCAGGTGTTCGGAGCGGCATTGGAAAGCACAGTTCTGAGGAAAAGTTCCTAAACTTCAGCAACACAATTGCTTAGTGCAAAAATGAGGCGTTAAATAGATCTACACCAGTTTCCAAAGGAGAATTGTCCTTTGTGGCTGTAAGCCACCAATAGACCATGAGCTAGAAAGCATTTAAGACAAAGATAAAATCTACTATAACCTCAGGCAAAAATCCTTGTGATCAAGATCAATTAATCACTAACAAAAGTTCACGCTTCCATCTGCCATGCAAGAGTGACAAATAGAGAGCTTCAGATTCAATGCAACTTCTGTTGCTAAAAGACACTGTCTAGAAGGAAGTTTCTATGAGTAACTCGTTATGAGTGAGAAAATTCAGCTTTCCAAAAATAATTTCTAAGGAAGGAATGCAAAGTATTGGCAACTAACAAAGTGCTAACTGTTCACATGAAGAGCCATCCCAGCAGCGGTTGCTTTACATTTTGGTTGGAAAGAAAACTAAGACTTGCTCCATTATTCTACTTTCACAAGTAAGAAGGTGGAAAGGATCATTTTTCCAAGAGGGCTCTAAAATTCAGTAGTCAAGACCTGTAAATGAGTTAAATTATCTTTTTTTTTTTTTTTTTTTTTTTTTTTTTTTTTTTTTTTTGAATTATGGTACATTATTTACATTCCACAGGGCACAGAACAGACTGGCTGCCTGGATGCAACTAAATGAATACTGAAAATCTGGAGTCTTCTACATGCCTCTTCGCAAGCTCAGTTCTGCTTTATATTTCCACTGGAGACTTCAGAAATAATTTGAATTTCTACAGCTTGTTATGAATATTTACACTCAGCTTACCAGCAATGTTTACAATTCATTATTTGCTGCCAATTATCATCCTTTCCTGGCTTGAATGCAGTAAGAAGCCAAATCATGTCACTTGCCCAGATATTAATCTGATATTAAAAAAAAAATGTCAGGCTAGTGTGTTTACAGTGAGATCTAATGCAGCTCTTTCCAAACTTCACTCATATTTCTGGAACTTTATGAACTTCTGTTCAAAACTACTGACTATTCAGGGTTAATAGCCTGAAGTGCTGCAGGTTGTATTTATCAAGTAACATTTTTTTACATTTCAGAGGAGGCGATAGTAAGCATGTTCTAAGTCATATTCACAGTTTAAGAGCTAACTCAAGCTGCTTTGAAATCCTAAAAATTAACTTCTTGAAGACTTTGTTCTGTAGTGACAGACTTTGCCCTAAGTTATTTTTTTTGAGAGCTGTCATATGTAATGCAAATTCACTCAGATATGAATTTAAGAGAAGGTTGGTGAAGTTTTCACTTTAAAGCTCTTTTCCACAAGCTATTTTCTGATCTCAGTGTTACGCCATTACAACAGAACTTACCAATCATGTAGAATTTCAGATTTTATGTTTAAAATAATCAGCAAGAGTTTCCTTAAGAATCAATGATGCCAGTTTTTGTTTCTCTCAGGCCCTTCATGCACAGACAGGGTAAAATAAAATGTAATATAGTGGAGTTCCTCCAATTCTGATAATCTGTAAGATCACGTCTGTGCTAATTTCCATGTGGCAAATGCAAAGTGATCAGTTTGTTGGTGTCTGAATTTTAGATGCAAACCTTTGATGTAGCCTTACAGCTCCATAGCAAGTATATCACAATGTAAGTATTTTAATACCTGATAATTATTTTTTTCTCTGAAGGAAAGTGCCATTTTCCCCTGTATTTTCCTTTTGCATTAGTGCAGAATTCAAAACCACCTTTATATGAAAATGCAGTTGGTACTCCCAAACCAGTAAAGAAGAGAACTGCAAGAATCAATGGGCAGGCAAACTAACAAGAAACTAGAGGTTAAACAGCAGAATTCAGAAACTTTGGGAGAAGCCTAAAAAAGACAGGCCAATTTTGGTGAATACCAGCAAAGACAGTTCGGCACAAACACAACTTCCATAGTGACAGATAATTGTATTAAAATCTGCAACTTGATATTGGTAGTTATACTAATTTCAGTTTGTATTAGGCATGCAATAGCGTGATTACACTGTTATATATATTTGTGGTATTTTTTTTTTTAATTTAATGCTCTTTAGAATTTTAGTGCCCTGCAAAATCACATCACTAGAGAACCGATCAGCTGCTGCTGCTCACAAAAGTTTAGTTCTACAGCTAAAACGAAGTTTAAGTCTGTTCTATGAGTCAGTTGCTGCCGCAACCTCTGCTAGTATTCGCTCAGGCTGTGCCATTTGGCCACTGGCTTTCTAGGATTCTCACACACCTCTCGCCAGTGTTCCACACCAGCTGCGGTGATGCTGTGTGCTCCCAAAATCAGCCGTCCCACCACTTCATTTTTTGTGGTACGGTCAAAATCAATAACTAGAAATTCAATGCTGATGTCAGGAAGGAGATCGACAGGGATGTCATAAATGAAGGATTCATTGAAGACAGGATTCAAAGTGCACTTCTTCACGTGAGTCTTCTTTTTTGCTATACGCTTTCTTCCATAATAAACGTTCACCTTAACATAGGGATCTGCCAGAGAAGAGAGAAACAAACTAATAACACAGTCCAGTAATGCTCTTTGAGGTAATGGATATGGTTTAGCTTGTTCAACTTGAGCCAGCTACAAGTTAATTGTGCAAGTCACTTCACCTCCCGCAGTAAGGGAGTATTGTTAGCACATTTTTTCATTGCAGGGCAACCAGCTTGAAGTTACCACTTGATGTTCTTTACAAGTTTCAGCACTGTATGGGAAACTGGGGGAAGGAAATTGCATGTAAATTGTGGTAATTAAGCCTAGAATTACCAAACAGGTAGCTTTTTGGTGAGGTCAGTGTCCAAGTGGTCAAACCCTTCATTTTTTAATGTCAGCTATAACAAAAAAATATTTTTACCCAAGTTCAGGAAATAGTCCCACAAAGTGTCAAAATGGTTTTAAGATTTTGTGGATGGAAAACACTTGTAGTGGAAGGTATTAAAACCAATAAAAGTTGAAAATAATGCCTTCATTTTTCTACCAGCCTCATTATTTTATCAGTCAGCTTGCTCTTTATGCAGATGTTTGTTTAGGATTAAAATTAAGATACCTTTTTCACACGTAGTGCAAGTTTTGAAGCTGGAAGGCACTTGCCCAGCTCACAAAATTAATTTTCACTTCTTAAAACTGAAACAAAGATCTCACTCAGAAAAAAATATATGTAAAAATATAAAAAGATCATATAAGGAAATGGTGATAGCCTTGTGAGAGCAGGTATGAGAACAGTTACTAAAAAATGTATCCTGTATTTGGAGATCATACATGGGAAGCTTATTTTTTTGAGAAAAAGTTAAGACCTACAATAGAGAATTAAAGCTAGTCTCCATTCTTTTTTCTGTGCACCTCAAAAAGCTGCAGAAACAGAACTACATTTGGTATCAGTCAGGTAATAACTGCGTCTCAAGTTGATTCCAATCATTTTCCCATAATTCTGAAAGAAACCTTTGCTAGGGGGATTCAAGAATCTGAGAAGCTGTGACTGCAGAATAGGAACGCCACAACAGCTGCTCTTCTCTTCACACAGCAGAATTTCCAAACAAACAACCAAACAGAAATGTTTTTAATGTCACAGATCATTCCAAATCTATCTCCTACTCTTTTACTCCCATCCTCTTCTACCCTCTTCTGTCAGGGGCAGGATTTGAGGGATGTGCAGCTCCTAGTGGACATAATGATGGTAAGGGAAATGATGCCTGATGGCAGCATGGAGGCACAGAGGTTTGATTGGATTCAGAAAATGCTACCTGCATGAAACTAGATGGTGCCAGAAAGATGCAACTGTTAGTAACACATTAGGAAAGATTTGGTCTTGTTTGTATAACCCTCTGTTGATCTGTTCAGTCACTTAGACTGATCCATCACCCTTACAAAGAATTGGAGAAAAAGCAGTCCATCAAAAGATGTTCAGATAAGACAGGTAAAAAGATCTGAAAGTGAACTGAACATCTAGTGACTTTTCCAGTGACTAGAAAAAAATCACTTCTAGTCAGATAGACTCTTCTCTCACGGATTGTTACTTATCGGAAAGCACAGCATTTTTCTTCTGCAATACAATTCCCATCCAACAATCAGCAGCTACCGTGCTCTGTTTGTAAAATATATTCTCTTTCCCTTCTCCCCCTGACCCAGCTTCTATTTTGCTATACTTAAGAGTTCTTTCATGTTACAAACAACAATGTGACATTTTGTTATAGCACCCCCAAACTGTGTAAGGGTGTCCAATACATCAGTCAACCTATGAATTGCCCTCTGCATGTCCTTGTGTGACTCTGTGAAACAGAGTGCAAACACATTTAGAGCTGGAGTAAATAGCTTCTACCTGAGAGGCCAGTGATATCCATCTTTGGCAAATGTCTGGCTTTCAGCACCACAACAGTCATTCGCTGCGCCACAGGTTGATAAGACAGTGAGACTTGCAGCTCTCCTCTGCTAATGCATTTCTGTGAAAAAGAAACAGCAACAAAATGGTCTTATAAATATGGGCAAATGTTGGAGGTCACCAGAATTCTTTCCCTACACTAAATGCCTAAGAATTTGGAAAATTAGGTGCAGTCTATTTACTTACATTCTTAGCCTTAGCCACATGAATACTATAGAAGGAGATGAAGTTGCATAAGGTAAAAATCATCCTGTGCTTTGCACCCTGTGCTTGCTGAGCAAAGTAAACATTGCTACAGCTTTTTCCCTTGAATTCTGTTTTCCTAAGGGTAAACCTGGTGGGCATACTTAGAGAAAAGAGCAGCTCTGGCTACAATCTGAGGTGTGCTTCTGGAAACAGCTGTGGGTTTTAGTTTTAGCAGCTTAAAGTACATTGACTTTTGGTGTAGCTTAGATTGGAGAACAGCTGAAGTTCTGTAAGCATACTTTGAAAGTTTCAGCATCAATCGAGTCTGCCAAGGTAAAGGATGAAGATAAAAGAAAAAAAACTATTCCATTAAACTTTCTGTACAACCTTTCAAAGAGTAACATTATTAAGATTATTAGTTTTGTTTTCCAGATGGTATTCATTAACTTTCCTTGAGATGACACTAATTTAGATTAAGTTTATTTAGATTACGTTTACTTGCAATTGAGGAAAGTAGTATGGGTATGAGATTGCATGGTGTCAGTAACAGCACTGATGGCAGAGCCACTGCAACAACTTGGACAGTTGCATGCTCAAAGCTCTGACTTGGCATCTTGCAGTGTCCCCATCACTGCCTTGTACTTTTAGCCCCGCAGTACAGTACAAATGGAAGAATTCTCCTGACTTCCACCAGGAAAATCACTACAATAAATGTGAGCTGTGCTCTGGTGATCACCTAGGAGGACAATGTTTTTCAAATGCTCTTGCTGCGATTAGTTGGAGAAAACTGTGTTTGTAAACTTAAACAAAGAAAACGTTCGTTCTAACTGGGGTGGCATTGCTTTATTTCAGTAGTTCCCATGGGTTTACTCTGAAGCCAAATTTTTCAAAAGTAAGGAACGGCAGCCATTGCTGCGTATGCAAAATTATGGGATGTGAGTACACACAACTTCATACAGTATATTGCTAACGTGATTTCCTGGCCCAGGAGGAAATATTAAGAATTTTGGCTTCCAGAATACAATGGACAAAGGGAGTATCTTTTTCCGTCCCTTTTAGGAAGGGAGCAATATTTAATAACCTTCTCATACTGTTGCCAGCTACTTATATAGAAAATGACCCTGGTTATCTAGTGCAGTTGTTTGGTCTGGTGCTTCTCAAAAGGCTTGTTATCTGCATGAAGAAGGAAAATGTGATAGTAAAAGTTTTATGATAACATTTTTTTTCATCTTTTGAGGAAGGGAAAACAATGTGTGTAGCCTTGGTGGTGTATGTTGTCAGCATTTTGGGGATCTTTTGTTCTAAACTAATTTAATTTCCATGTGATTTGCATTAGATGATCTGTCAGAAATTATTGGGAATGTTCATTTCGATGTGCATCTTTGCTGGCTTGGGTAAGTGCAATAATTTACTGGGTTTTAAAAGCAATGCAATATTCCAGATTTTCAAATTTCCTGTAACACTGAAAATTATGTTCAGTAACAGCTGTTTTGACACTCTGAAACTATGCAGATTTTCAATGCGCACCCAACACCAAGGTAAATCTATCTTTAATTACTAAGAAACGTTAAATAATTTGCATCCTTGATTAAATCCATTTTTATTTAGCATGATCTTTTCCTCTATTTTTAATCTATTACTTCTAGAAATTCTAGCAGATATAGTCAATGCATCAAAAAGAATACAATAAAAGAACCTAAACCAGTTACTTGTTTTATCAGAATGTAAAGCATCCCAAGAATTTTAGAAAAGCAAACACCAGAACTCCATTCTTATTGTGATTCTTTTGGTTTGTTTTGAGGTGCTGACAAAGTCTCCTTTAAATAACTTTACAAAAATAATAAAAATTAAAAAAAAAAATAATAATGCTACATAAAATAGAAGAAAACTTCAAGTAAAATACTGTTGCTCTAAGGCATGATGTGTTTTATAGAGCTCAGCAACAATTTTCAGCATGCTTTGGCAATAAGTGACCCCAAATGACATTTGCTATTGAACCTGGAGGACAGGCAGCAAAAATAAAGTAAGCAAAAAAGCAAACCAAACAAAAAACACCTAAGTACCACCCCCTATAGCAGAGGAGGACCTGGGGTGCTGTTGGATGTAAAAGGCGCTGCAAACTGGCAGCACGCCCTCGCAACCCAGAAAGCCGACTGCACCCTGGGCAGCACCAAATGTGGTAGAGCAGCAGGGCGAGGAAGGGGGGCGTCCTCCTCTGCCCTGCTCTCACCAAGATCACCCCTGAAGTGCCGCGTCCAGCTCTGGGTCCCCAACACAAGGCAGATGTGGGGCTGTTGGAGCGGGGCCAGAGAAGGCTGCAAGGCTGCTCAGAGGCTGCAGCACCTCTGCTGCGGAGATTCTATTTCCTGAGGACGGAAGACATCTTCATTAACGTAAGCCATAATTTTATATGGATTGTTTATCTTTCTAGTTTACAGCACGAGACACTGAGAACAGGATTCATTTCACCTGGATTTTAGACGTCTACATTTGACAAAACCAGCTTAGACACACTTCATCCGCAAGTGGTGACAAAAAGAGGGTCATTTAGGGTGGGATTTATCTGAGCTGTTTTAGATGTCTACTCCAGGCCAGGAAGAATCATACGTCAAAGTCTGATGACTATGCTGATGTTCTTCTACTGACTTACAGCCTATAGTAACAAATTTGGATGCAGACAATTACAAATGTAGGTGTCTAAAATGGTCAGATGAATCCCTCTTTAAGTGAGATTTGTCTTTGCAGAGCAGGATATAGTTACTCAGAATCTGCAATAAAACTTATTCATAGCACCCATCTCTCTAGCCGTCCCCCACACACACAGTCTGTGAAAGAAGGCAGGCCACCAACAAATGTCCCTTTCTCACATGAGCTCTTTATTTGCAGATGGGGATGCTTTTTTCTTAGCATCGTTGATTGTAACATTCCTCATTTGCATGCCTCTGGAATGTCTATGCATTATCAAACCTCCATAACCACACAGCAAAGAACCGCCAAACTAAAAGAGCACAGCCATATATTATTAAAATAATATGCATCTGTGGAAAAATGGGTTTCATGCCTAAGAATTTCTGCTCACTAGATCACAGAGGCTCCCGAATCAAAAGAACTGGAATCAAATATAATGCAAGCAGTCTCAAGTCACACCACATGAAGTCACTTACTTGTATGTTCCTTTTGAGAATCTCCCTGGTCAGCTGAACCTTCCCAGTGCTGGGATCCACTCCCGCAAGAGGCACCATGACTTCTCCAATCACATCATCTCGAGAAAAGCGATCAAAGCTCAACACCAGGAAGTGAAGCACCAAATCCTGGAGCTGGCTGTAGGGGATCCCGTAGAAGGTGAAGGTTTCGTCAAAGACTGGGTCCAGCGTCTTGCGAAGGACACGAGTCTTCACTCGATGCCTTTTGTCTGGAAGAATTGTCATCTTGATGTACGGGTCAGAGCTCTGAGTGTGTTCATCCATAACTGGTAGCCCATGAGCCTCCTGAATGGTAACTACCAGTGCTTTTTTGGGAAAGTTGTAGTCCACTGAGAAAGTCAGTTCTCCCAACATGACATCATCCCCTGGAGAAGACGGGGAGGAAGTTTTACTTCCTCCCGGGGTGAGGCTTTGATCTGGACTTAGTTCATCTCCATAATCTACTTTTATTGGAAGCTGATCAATGTGGGGAGCTGCATTTGGCCCATCTGAAGCTTTATCAGACCCTATTAAACCAGATTCAGCAGCATCCACCAAAATGTTTCCCCTTCCAGTCTCCTTAGGAGTGCCGTTCTTGTCTCTCCGGATTCGGTTAATTTTCTTCTTGTTACTCAAGGTCTCCGGATAGATACTGATGCCTTTCAACATGTGAATGAACTTATATGGTGGGGTTTTGTGCTTTTTTTCTGATTGCTGGTGACAGCATGTCCACACAAAAACTGTTACTGAGACAGAAACCACAAGGACAGTAGCACCAATGAGGCCTGCCACAACTGGAGAGACATCTGTAGGGAAGACAAGGCAGTGAGGAGATAGCTCGTACCTTTGTGCTTGCCATAGCCCTACAGGAGCTGGCGCATCTGGATAGAAAATCTATAGGATACTACTCAATAACCTTTGTATCAAAGCTTCCTAGAGTAAAAAGTGACTTCCTGTAACTTCTGTGTGCCTGTGTGGGAGACATTTTGCACTCCTACTGACCTAAGTTTTACTCTCGGCTGATCTCCTGATCTTGCTAAAAACAATCTCCCCTATTACCAGCAGGAGGGTCTCTTTTTTATGTAGTGCCCTGTTTAAAAACATTGCACAGTTCTATTTTAACAACAGGAAGGGAATGATAACTACAGACAAAATGCTGGATCTGTTCTTATCCATTATGAACAATTTAAACCTTGGATAGATTACTTTTTTTTTTTTTACTTTTTTTCTTTCTGGTGGGGGGTGAATATGACCCTGAGCTGAGCTGTGTAAGAGAAAGGGACAGTGTGCGTATGTCCCTCTAACATGATGATGATTTGTATCACGCTGCTGGATCGTTTTTCTCCCACTTTTCATTCTGACCATTTCCACAGCCTCCTCTAGGAAAGTGGGTGATGCACGAATGTAGTGGTCGCATTGGTCTTACCCAAAAGTTGAGGTTGCTCTCTAGCTGTTCTGCTGTGTTGCATTCAACATTTCTCTGCTTTTTCACCCCAGTATTGCTATTCACATTCTTTCAGCTTTTGATGAGCTGGCAGCTGCTGACAGAAGTCTTCCCACCCCACTGTTACCAAGACTCCTTTTAATGTGAAAAATCTAATGTTCAAAACCAATGGACAGAATATTCTGTATTTGTATTTCAGGATTATTTGTTATTTTCTAGAGTTTGTCAGTTGGATTCTTCAGCAATGACAGGCCAGGATAAAAAGGCACTGCATTAATTTCTAGCAACCATGCTAGTTATTTTCTATTTATAACACTTGACTTTGGGGAGGTATTACCAAACACAGAATGAAATCAGGAGTTTTGATTTCTCCAGTACATTGTATCGACATATTCAAGAAGTTTAGTCAAGGGCCACCAAGATAATTAGAGCTGGAGCAGATGGAGGATGGAGAATGGTCAGCAGATGGAAGATGAGGATGGATTGAAAGAGCTGGGTATGCTCAGTCATAAAAGAGAAGGAAAAGGAAGAGATCTTTTTGCTGTCTTCACTTTCTTAGTGGGAAGACAGCGCTAGGCTCTTCTCAGACCCCCCCCCACAGCAAAGGGATGAAGAGCACCACACACAGACTGTAACACTGGGAAATACAGGGAGAAATTAGAGGGAGGGAATTCACAGTAAGGACGGCCAAACACTGCAGAGGGGCTGACAGCCTGTGGAGACTACGCACCAGAGATGCTCAAACGGGCCTCAGCAACCCGATTTCTCTCTTCTAATGGCCAGACGTTAAATTAAGAGCCTAGCGCACACAGCGATGGCAAAACCCACCAAGCAACCACAGCACCTTATCTTCATCAGCACTCCTACTGGTGACATCGTGCTATTGATACCGAACGATTTCTGGCCCAATTACTGCAGGGACAATCCCTCCTTTCAGGGCAGCAGATTATTCCACGGCTAATCAAAAGAAGACCAACACAGGCGGATGATTGCATTGAGGTGCTCGCATGCTAGCTGTGGGTAGTATAAGCTGGGAGAAAAGGAAGGGTGCCTCTGAGCCCAGACACTCCTCCTCCAGTAGTGCACAGCACAGAAGGCATTTTGCAAACACCTTTACTGCAGTTGTCATAGAACTGCTCCCTCTCTGAAGCACCTCCCTTCCTTCCCTACACACAGTATTCAAATTGGTTTTTAATTCTTGCAACATTCATATCTTCTGCTGGACAGATGCCTTCTGCAAGACTTTCCTTGACCCCCTTAAACTGAGAAGGAATAAGTAGGAGTTAGAAATTAAATTAATCTAAAAAGTAAACAAGCCACTGATTCTGAGGTGTTTACCTTTCTGTATAGTCTAAACATCTTAAGGTTAAAAATTTACTTGTTACTAAAAGCAATGTTTTTATATTACTGTATTACTTTGGTAATTACGGTATTGGTATTATTATTATTGTGTTATTGCTTTACTAATTATTGAAGCAAATTTTTTGTGGAAGACAAACCCATCTAACCCTGTCTTTTTCTTCACAAGTTTTGCAAATTGTTTCCACAGTAGAATAGAAAACAAAAAAATTATTGCCATGACAATAGCTAAATGCAACAGCCGGTACAAAAGATAAACTTGTCTGATTTTCTTAATTTCATTCTGTACCTTAAGCAACAGAAAATAATCTTCCAAACTCATACTTGAAATTGCAGAGAGCATCTTCATTTTTTATCTTCTCTGTTCTTTCTACATGATTTTTCATTCCTGTTACTAGTCCTGAGGACAAGACCAGCAGACTATAACCTGATTATCTGATAAACTGAGGGAAAACCGCGATTTTCAAGTAACAATACGCCTCCTTTTTGCAGAATTAGGAGAATCACGTTTAATTAGATAGAAGTCTTCCCTTACTGAGGCTGGATATCGTTCACATGGTGACCAACTCCACAGATAAATCTGGCTTAGGCCCTACTGCCAAGCACAGTCATGGGACAGGAATAACTAAAGCAAGAGGTATTGACAACATTAACTAAACAGTAATATGCATATCTTTATTTTGTTATTTAATGTTCCTTGAAATGAGGCAATTGGTCTTTAACAGCCAATTTGAATACGGTACAATTCAGCCATATACAGATACAAAAAGCTTCAGTGCATATGCAAAAAAAGACAAGTGCTGAAACTCCTTTCTTGTCCTGATCTCATTTTTTGTGGGTTTTGTTTCTAGTGTGTCCTGAAAGAATCAGCTCTTGTACCTTTATTTCCTGATACACAACCTTAGAAGAAGCAACCAGCAGTCACACTAGGAAGCGTCAGCTGAGTCTCTGCGATTTGTCTTCCATCAAAATGTCTGAACTCCTGAATTTGGCTCCTACAATGCGTCGTGGCAGAGTTCCTCAGCTTAGTTATGTGGCCTGAAAAATCAACTGCTTTAATTTTGAGTCTACCTCACCTCACTTCGTTTGATGCCTGTTCTTGTATTGAAAGAAAGAGTAAGAAATAATCACTCCCTACTTGCTCTGTGCTTCTTCTGGCACCTCTCTTTTCATGGCTGAAGACTCCTACTTTATGTAATCTTTCCATATATTCATGAAATGTTTCCCTAATTCCTTATAGTTTTAAGCTGCACAGATACAAAGCTACCTAAAAAAATACTTTAGTGTAGCTTTTGAAGGTTCTGCACAGAATAGTGTTTTGAATGCCCATTTTAAATAACACAGCAGCCTATTTTGTCTCCTCTATTAAAAATAACATTTTTTATTCAAAATTTGTAGATGAGATCTTTGTTCTGATGTGATGCTAAGATTTAACTGAACTACAGACTAACTTTTTGGGATATGGAACGACGTTTTCAATTAATGAAAAATCATTGAAAACTTCTTTTTAATACTGGTGTTTGCTGATTATACCCTAATGGACACCGGTGGCCAGCAGCTGAATTATAGCAGTATGAGGCTCTCGGGTTCCAGGAAAGACGCAAAAGGTAAATGCGCATATTAGATGAATGGTATAGCATGGATTATTATTATAAAGCGTTTTAGAATTTAAAGGAAATGTAGTGACCGTGCTTTAACTCTTGGGCCTTACGGCTGGAAGGGAAGGTCAGTCCATCGCTGGAGGACAGAGAGAGGCAGCAATTTGAATTTGCCAGGCTGGAGAAACCAACCTGACGCACACGCCAGCTGCCGTACCACCAGGCCCTGCGGGGACAGCACGAGCAGCTTCGCGGGCCGTGGGGAGGCAGGCGGGCAGACGGTGCTGCCGGCGGCCCAGCCGGCCGCGAACACCTCCCGCAGCCACGGCGGGGCCCACGCGTGGCCACTTCGGGGCCGTCTGGCAGGCGATGATTTAGCAGGGCTGCCGGCCGCCTTCCTCGCAGCCCCGGGGGGCCTCGCTCGGCCGGAGGCTGCCGCCGCCCCCGCCTCGGGGACCCCCCCACACCGTCCCCGCCCCCCCCCCCCCCTCCCCCGGTGGGCACCGCCTTGCCGGGCCCGCAGCCGCTCCCGCGGCCCCCGGCGGCCCGCGGGGAGGCGCAGACAAAGGCTGGGGCGCGGCCGGGCCCAGGCATCGCGGTACCGGCGGCCGGGTCGAGCCGCGGGGCTCCCGCTCTTCCCAGCGGGGCTCTTCCAGCTCCGTTCGCATCCTCTCGGCGGCGGGGGCGAGCCCCGGCTGCCGGTGGGTGTTGGGGTGTTGGCCGCCAACGGGGCCGTCGCTGTGAGGCGGCGGGGGAGGGGGGGGGGGGGGTGCGGCGGTGGCACCAGGCAGGGCCTGGCTCAGCACTGGCGAAAGGGGGGGGGGGGGGGCTCGGGGGTGGAATTGGAGGAGCGGGGCCCTCCGCGCGGCCCGGCCCCACTCACCGAAGCTGGGGTGGACGGTGGTGATCTCCGCCATGGTCCGGGATAAGCCGGAGTGACCGAATATGCGGAACCCGGTGCGGAGGCGCCGCGGTACCGGCCCCCGCCCGGAGGATGCTCCTCGCCCGGGATGCAGGAGCTGCCGACTGGTCCCGATGCAGCGCACGCCCCGCCCGGCCCCGGGACCGCCTCCCCCCCCCCCCCCCCCTCAACACCACCTCCTCCCCTCCCGCACCGCCTCGCCCCGCCCCGGAGCCGCCCGGCGGTGACTCGGCAAGTGGCGGCGCTCCGGGCGCCGAGCCGGGCGGGCGGTGGCGGGGACGGGGCCGCGGGCAGCAGGCGAGGCCCCGGGGGCAGCGGTGCGGGGGCTGCGGAGGCGGCGCTCCCGCTCCCGGGACACAAGGGGCCGCTTCCGAGCGTTCGGGAGCTGCGGCTCGGTTCTCCCCGCACGGCGCAGCCCCGCTGAGGCGGGGGCGAGGCTCAGGCGGGGAGCGAGGCTCTGTCACCACGCAGCCGCCCCGTAAAGATGGCGGCGCCCCTCATCCCCCCCCTCCCCCTCCCCGACGCCTGCGGTCCCCCGCGGTCGTCACGGCGGGGCTGGCGGCCCCGCCAACATGGCGGCCGCTCCCTCAGCGCCCCAACATGGCGGCGCGGCGCCTGCGCGCGGCCCCGACGGGGGCTTCCGCTTCCTGAGCGGAGCGGGACGGGACGGGACGGGGCGGCGGGGCCCGGCCGGCGGCCCCGCGGCGCGGCCAGCCGCTTTCCTGTCTTCTAGGTGGGCGCCGAGATGTCGCTCTCGCTGAAAATGTTGCCCTGCAAGAAGAGGAGAGCGGTGGTCGCGGGGCTGCAGAGCCCGCGGGAGCGGGGCGGCGCCGGGGAGGACGGGGAGCCGCCCGGAGGCGTCTCGGTGGCGGGCGCCGTCGACGGCAGCTCCCCCGTGAAACCGGCGGCGGGCAGGGCCGCCGGGCCGCCCCCGGGCTGGAGGGGACCCGGGGACGCTTTCCTGAAGGGCGGAAAGAGGCTCCCCGCGAAGGTGGCCCCGGCTTCCAGTCAGGAAAGCGCCGACGGCCGCCCCGGCGCGAAGGATTCGTGCTCTGCCGCTGAGCTCGCCGAAGACGTTAAAAACCTGGAAGGGGGCAGAGAAGGTAAATGCGTCCCGCCGGTGCTGTCCGGTGTGAACACGCGAGGCGAGGGGCTCGTGCTGCCGGGGGGCTGCGAGGGGCTCCCCCGGGAGAGGGGGCGCTGAGGGAATCTCGGCGGCCTCCTCGCCGTGAGGGTGAGGTGAGCCGCGGGAGGGGGTTGTAACCTCTGCTCTTTGCTTTTGTTCTCCTTTTTTTTAAAAAAAAATTAGTTCTGAAGTGGTACAGGTTAGAAGGCATTCCAATTTAAAATGTTTCTTTTCTTTTTATTTTTTCCTCCCTCAAAATCTTAGGAAACAAATGGAGAACTTAAGCAGCACTACCAAACACTGCACACTTTTGAAGTAGCTTCTTTCAGATTTCTCAAGTACCCAATTTTACAGTCTTTACGCGCGTTTTCCTGGTCTAATCTTTGTGTTTAACCTTCTGTGGACCTTGTGTAGTGATCAATCCTAATAATAACCATCATAAAAAAAAATCTGTTGTGCAGGGTATTTGACTTTCAGCTGGTCTTTACACAAGTCTTTGTAAATTTGAGCTTTGATCTGAAAGAATTGTTTGACATTTAGTTTTTCAAAAGAAATGATTTGCTACTGAGGTGTAAAGACTTTTAAAAGTGCAAGCTGCTTCCTCTAAAAGTCCCATTTTTCATTTTCTTTTATCCACCCTTGTTTTAATTCTCAGAAGATTTAGTCTAGAGTGGCACTGTGTGGAGTCTACTGTGACCCCTTAGGAGAGCCATTGAAGTAGGACCTGTGTTAACAAAGTTACAAGTTTGCTGTGGAAAGAGATGATTTGGAAGTTGATGTAAAAAAGGCTGTGTTAAACCTTGCTTGCTCAGAGGTTTACTCAGTGAAACTGTGATGTGTGACCTTGTGTAAGAGGTGAGGTGGTCGTGATCAAAATGATGCTCACTTTGTAGCTCAGATCTTCTTTGTCGACAGAAGTGGTGGTCCTGTCTTCCCAAACTGCATGTTGTATTCATCTTTTTCTTTTCCTGGCATACATCTTTGTCTCTGAATTCAATGAAATTGGAAAATTGATTTAGCAAAGGAAAAAAAAAAGGGGGGTGTGTGTTTTTTCCTCTCCGTCTGGTTCAACCCCTTGATCTTATTTAGTGTGTGACTACACAAATAGCTGTGCGGGCACAAAGCAGGAAATGCTGTGGGATATGAGAGCTGGTTTTATTAGAAGACACATTGTTTTCATCCTGGCTGAAGGTTTTCAAGAAACCTCAGGTTTCAGCTACGTTTTACATTAATTGTAAATGTATCAAACTACAGGCTGCAGCAAAAAAGGACAGTGCTTCCTTACTTGCTTGTGAGAAGTGTTGTCTCTGCTTCTTGTGCTGCTGTGATTTAGCTCGCTGATTTGACTGAAAGCTGATTTTGTGCTGGCATAGTGGTCAGTTTACAGTTGCTATCCCGGCCTGCCTAACTTCCAGAACCGTGCGGAATGGGAGTGGGAAGGAATGTCGTTGGACCTCTCAGCAGCAGTACAGTCTGAAATTAGCCCAGGGTAACAACGAAAGTGCATGCTAAGGTTGCAGTCAACAAGGCTGTTCTGACTGGGTGAAGGAGTGCTTGCCCCTAGCTGTTAACTTGTGTTGTTGCAGCCCTGTTTATTCAACAGGGAAAGCGACCACACTTCAAAGAAATCACTATTTTTTGGTGGTTAGATCATTTGACAGGGATGGTTTTGAGCACAGCTGTGCAAAACTGATAATGCAGGTAGTGAGACTGAAATAGCTGGAGGTGAGCATTGCTTCACCTGGATTTGTTTCTGGAGGACAGTAACGTGGGACTGCTGCTGTTGAAGTGTTCAGTGTACCTGGATCTCTTTCACAGACTGGGTGAGGGAGCATGACTTGAGCAGTTGGTTTAACAGATTTAAGGATGAATTTTTTGTAGTAGCAGCCTTTTAACTTTGCTTATCTGTGTCCGCATGGCGTATCTGACTACAGCCTTTCGTATACTGTTTGCAGGGAAAACTCTTAAGCTGTATACAGAGGTGGCAGTAAATTTGCAGAGAGATCCATATCTGCCTGACAACCAGTCTGCAGCGCAGGAGTCTCCAGCGAGAAGTTCTTCACAGCTGGCTGTTAGAAGTCCTACCATGATGAAGCCATTGAAGAACACCAGAACTGGTGAGTGTCCCCAGCAGACTGATGAGGAAAATGGGAGTTTGGGGCTGTTTGTTCCATTGGGTTAGCTTTGTGCAAGGAGCAGACATGTGACCTGGTATGGTAGACAAGGAACATGGGATGTGTGTGTGTGCCACGTTGGGGAGTGTTCAAGTGCATTGTGTTCTGAAGCTTTTATCTTCTGTTCTGAAATTTCACTTTCATTATGCGTTCTGAATTCACAAAACCACTGGTATTCAAGTGAAACTTGCTGGAGTTGATCTCCACATTTTTCAGTTACTAAAAAGTCTGTTTTTCTTCAGAGAAAGTTCTGACTCCTTTCATTTCCCTGAATCAGCAAAACAGCACTGCTTGGGAAACATTTTAAGTCTTGCTGCACTGGGCTTGTAGTTTTGCTTCTGTTTTAATCTTGACCACATACTTAAAACAGCTCCTTCTGGAAAAGTGTAGAAGGGGTGCTGAGACTATTCTTTAAAATCAGTCAGTAGAGGTATCAGATATGTAACCTTTGTTTGCTTGACTAGTGTGACTTGCTCAGGTCCTACAGAACTTGAATTCTTCGTTCAAAACCACTGCTTCTAGCTCTTATGTCCTTTTCTATTTGGAAGATTTCATTATCGGCTGTTGGCAAGCTGTTGTCACTTTAGAATCTACATAATTCTATTTTTTTAATTAAAAAAAACTCATACTGTTTGAATGTGCTGGATGTGAATTATCTGAGTTAGATTTTTAATTTTCATTGTTAATTTTCAGAGGAGCAAGATGGAGAAGATATTGAGAGAAGAAAGAGGAGAAGGAAAGCAAACAAACGGAAGAGGGAAGGGAAGAGTCAAGAAGAGGAGGGCTCTCTGTCTTGCGACATCAAACTGGATGATACCCTTGATCGCACCTTAGAAGATGGTGCTAAGCAGCATAACCTGACAGTTGTCAATGTGCGAAACATCCTACATGTGAGTGCGCTTAATACAGCAAACATACAAGTTACCTGGCTTTATTAGTGGGTGTTGGTCCCTGACTTCCACTTTGTGACAGATGGGTCTGTTTTACTGTACCCTAATAGCAGTAGTAGGAGTGAACTAAATTCACTGACGTGATTAACTAAAATTCGTGCTTCTGGCTCCAGGTTTATGTATATGTCAGTTGTATATCTTTCAGTTTGTCCCATGAGCAGTGTCTGGAGAGAAATGCTATTTGTTTTCCCCAGGATCAAAAATTGTGCATTTCTTTTCTCCATCTAGTACTGTTCTAGTCTAGGTGATGTCAAATATTTTCATGTTTTGCAATCTGTGTGGAAAACAAACTGGAGACTGACATGACCCTTCTTTCAGGCAGATTCACCAGCTGTTTTTGTGTGAGTGCCATAAGTTAATGTCTTTCTTTGTCATGTGGCCTGTAAACATCTCACAGGTGCCTACCTTCCCTGGAACCTCGTGGTGGCATTCTGAAAATGTAGTCACTGATACTAGGTCTCTTAGGCCTTCACATATATATATTATTTTTTTCTTTTCAAATATATCCAGTGTTCTCTGAAATGATACGGCACAATGTTTCAAAGAGTAGATCATTAGATACTTTACCTGGAGAGTTAGACCCTTACTGTTTTGCAAGCCCATGGGACCTTAAGGATTTAAGTTTTCTGTTGCAGCTATGTGTCTTACATGGATGGGAACAACACACTGTAAAATTGTAAATTGGCTGTGTGACAGGAGGGAAGGGAAGCCAGTGTGGACTTCTATTTACGCCATTTTCTTTCCTTTGGCTTTCAGTTTCCTCCTTGGAGCGTTTACAGAGAATGCAGTGCAAATGTTTGTATCACTGCTGTGCTCACTTTATATTTTCTTGTCAAATCACTGAATAGTCTTTTTCACAGCATAATTGCAACATTTATTGTACATTCACTATTT